TAGAGTTTGGTACTAGATGGTAGAGTTTTGTTCTTGATGGTAGAGTTTGGTACTAGATGGTAGAGTTTTGTTCTAGATGGTCTGATTCTAGTCACAGTTAATTTCTAGTAATCATAATTTTATTCTAGATAGGTTCTAGACAACATGTTCTCATCTGAACTCGTCACATCCTGACGCTTGGATCAGCCCAGTGAATTAAACTATGACGCTCCAACACCTGATTAACGTAGTGAATTAACACAAAAACATCAAGGTTGGGTTTATTTAAACCGCAACAACGTAACAACTAACACTTTAGTTGTAGTTAGCACAGTCTGAGAGGAAATCTGCCTGGAGACAGTCGACCGTGTGAATATCAACCAATCAATATTCATCAGAGTAATAATTCCGTGAACTTAAAAGAGAACAAAGTTTAATTTGTACGGACTGTGTTCCACCGAGGATAACGTCTTTATGTGAGCTCGTATGAACTCCCTGTTGAGCTCATAATGTTCGGTAATAAGTTCAATCTGTGGGAGTCTCAGTGATGAAGCTTCAGTGGCAGCTGAGAAAGTGTTTCCTGCTGTTCCAGTGTGAACACTAATCACACCTCCATGCTGAGAGCATCAACACACACACTTCTTTATTACTGGAATATATTCCTGCAGAAACAAACTCTCAGCACGTCCTGTGATTGACCAATCACACGGCTCCTCCGCTGATGATGACAGAGGTCAGAGAGGTGCTCTGTGATTGGTTGGTTCTGGTGACATGTTACAGACGAGACGCACGAGTCACCGTCTGTCTGACTGCATCTGTGTGATGTCATCATCAGTCTGAGTCCTGGTCTCTCTCACAGGTGAGTGTACAGGTGAGTGGTTTGTGGCCAATCAGAAGGCTCCCTTCTCCGTTGGATCATCCAGTGAGCATCATCAGTCATTGAAGCCGACTAATACAAATAAAACAGCTGTTGTTGTTCTGAGTGGCAGCAGCTCTTCCTCTTCCTCTCAATGTAGTCGGTGTTTCTCTTTGACATGTGATCGTGTTACCTGGTGTCTCTCAGCCCAATGCATTGTGGTTGCTTTTAGTCGAGACATCAGGAAGCCTTTAAATCTACTTCATCAAACTGAAATAAACATCGTCTGTGTTTATGAATCAAGTCAGGCTACGAGTCACCAACGGACGCATTCGGCTTAAAGTCACCAGATAACACGGTCACAAGTTCAGCTGAAACACCGGCACGTTGGACAGAAATCTGCTGTCTGTGAGTCTCCTCGTCGTCTCCTCGTCGTTCCTCATCGTCTCCTTATCGTCTCCTCATCATGTGTGTGTGGTATAAGACATTTTGTTTCCCACAATTCATTGGACAAAGCTCAGAAATACAGAAACATTCAGGAGGTGAATTCTAGAAACAATCAACGTTTAATTACAGAAATAAAGTCCTGTAACCATGGCAGCCTCGGAGGCTTCGTGACCCGTCAGGACCGACAGCGAGGAGGCGGGACTTCACCCGTCAGGTGACTAACAGCAGATGACAGGAAGTGTTTCACACCTGTCGGACGCGGTTACCACGGAGACGGTCAGAAAGCAGCTGATTGGTTCACCCTGTTGGTCCGAGTTAAACCTTTCAAACGATGTACTCTCAGCTTGTCTCCACTCCGTGTTTCCTCTCTCCTCTCCTTGTTTCCTCCCCACTAGTCTCTGCTCCTTGTGTCCTCTCTCCTTGCCTCCTTTCTCTTTAACTTCCTGTAAGGAGGACATTTTCTCTCTGCCTTTCAGTCTAAATATTTCTCCCAGAATCCCGCTGGGCTTCAGCGGGGGTCACATGGTGACCTGCTAATCATGTGGACATGTGTGTGTGTGTGTGTGTGTGTGTGTCTCTGCTCATTGACTCACGGACACATTCATCTCCACCGGTCCGCTTGATTGGTCGGTTCACAGTGGGGGGTCCCCACTGTGACGTGACCTTTAAACCATTAAAGGAGCGTTTCACGCATACGGACACGCTCATTACAGACAGACATCACCTGTCTGTCTGCTGATAGTGATAATAAAGATAATATTAATAATCCTCAGCAGGATTCAGACTTACATCTGCAGACAGAAAGTTAATTTTGCAAGAAACAAAGAGACTGAAGCCAGCTGACAGATAGAGATATCACACCCCCCCCCCCCCCCCCACACACACACACACACTCACACTCACACACACACACACTCTCTCTGTTCCACCTGATAACAGTTTAATCTGTTTCCATTTATTCCAGTTGGAGCTGCAAGAACTCAGCTGTTTTATTAAAAACATATTATTCATTGTTAATCTGTGTTTTAGTTTTAAAACAAACATAAATACACAAAGTAGACATTAAATGAGGTCGTTTTAAAAGAACACCTGCTGTCTCTTCCACAACACAAAGGAACAGGTTCACCTGTACAGACCTGTCAATCACCGTGTAGCCCCGCCCTAAAGCATCCCCTGCTTTATGGTCTGTTTGACTCTAAATGGACCATAATGTACTAAATGAACATCATGCTGTATTGAAGAAGACTTGAAACTAGAGATTGAGACCATAAACTCATGTTTACAATGTTTACTGAGGTAATAAATCAAGAGAGAAGTAGAGTCATTTTCTCATAGACTTCTATACAACCAGAGGAGTCGCCCCCTGGTGGACACTAGAGAGAATGCAGCTTTAACACATGAAGCTCTGACTTCACTTAAAGAACCGGAGGTTGTCTCTTGATTGACAGCAGCTGTTAAAAACAGCAGCAGAACATAAAGGTTTCCTCATGAAAACACTTTCAATCAATTTTAAGTATCTGTCTATTAATAACCGATCATTACATCATCACCTAATATTCTGCCTCCTCAATAAAAGACAGAATCATATAAACGCCTCTCAGTATCGTATCGTAAGTCCAGAAGTTGAAATACGAGTTCTTAGTGAACCTATATATTTAATAATTTACAGAATACAGCTGCTCTGTGTTTATGTCGTCTGCGTTGACCTGACCTGTCAATCAACACGGGAGTGTCAGCAGCAACCAATCCCGTGGCTTGGATGTTAGCAGTGGGCGGGGTTAGTGTTCAGTTTACATGAGAGAAGAAAAGGTTCATATTCTTAACGACAGGTCTCAGTAATGTGCTTTTAGTTCTGGTTAAATATTACTGACACACACACACACACACACACACACACACACACACAGCAGTGTGTAATGAGTTGAGTCAACATTTGCTCTCTCTCTCTCTGATCTCCATTACAGGTTAATTAGACTCGACCTCTCTGTTCAAACAGTGAACCTGCTGCTGGTTCCACTCTCACCCTCTGATCTGGAGTCTGTTAGACGTGAGGAGAGGAGGCTGTGGACACGTGAACATCGGCAGGTTGTTGTAGATGTTTGACTTTGTGATTTATATGAGACGAAATGAATACATTTATAGATTTATTGTTATTTATATGATGCTTTTTGTCTGTTCTTCTCTGCTGATGTCTACTTAAGTATGTTGGAAACCGCAGAAAATGTTAGATATTGAATTAAAAATGTACTAAAATTCTGGATCAATTCCAACCCTTCATCGTTCATTGATTGATTGTTTCAGCATTACACGTGTTTACGATTCTCGTCATGATGTCACTTCTGTTTGTTTTTAATATTTTTTATGTCAAACTCTGGACAGACGGGAGGCGGAGCCACAAACTTAACTGATTTATCTTTTTAATTGATAATACATGAATTATTCAGGAGTACTGTAGCTAGAGAGCTGCTGATTGGTCCGTCCAGTCGCTCAGGTGAAGGTCAGGTGATCTGGGATTGGTCGCCACGCGGCAGCTGCCATGGAAACAAAACAACAAGGACAGGTGAGACACAGAATGCAAGTTACCTGGGCGGGGCTTAAAGAGGGGGCCAGGTATCTGGGCGGGGCTTAAAGTAAGTCAGTGAAATGTATTTATAAAGCGCTTTTCACAGACATTAGTCACAAAGTGCTAAACAGGAGCAGACTTACAAGCATAAATAACACCAAGTGACCATATAAGGGCCAACATTAAACACCACACAAGAAACAGAAAGAACACAATTAAAACATGGCTTAAAGGCCGAGGACATGAGTCTGAACAGGTGAGTCTTCAGCTTCTGGAAAGAATTCACAGAATCAGCAAAGTGTAGAGGTGCAGGCAGAGCCTTCCACCGCCGTGGTGCTGCTGCCTCAAAGGCTCGGTCAGCTCAGGTCTGAAGGGGAGTGCGTGGGACCGACAGATCATTTAACATGTTTGACCTGAGAGCGCGGGTGAATAAGGCTGAAGTAGTTCAGCTACATATGTAGTCTGACCGTGTAGTGCTCTGTGAGAGAGGGTGAGGAGTTTAAAGTGGATCCTAAAAGCTACAGGGAGCCAGTGGAGAGATCTGAGTACGGGGGTGATGTGAGACCGTTGATTTGTCCTGGTGAGTAATCCGCCGGCAGCGTTTTGGATGACCTGCAGGAGCAGACTGACTGAGTGATGAGAAAGGTGTGTTACAGTAGTCGATGCATGAAGAGATGAATGTGTGTATGATCATCTCTAGTCCAGCTGTTGATACTACAGATCTCAGTTTACTGTTATTTCTTCGGTGGAGAAACATGATCTGGACAGCTGCTGGGGGTCAAACGAAACTGATTGGTTAAAGAGGTAGTCAGATACCTGTGCGGGGCCTAACAGGACGTGAAGCCCTTCCAGTAGAAGTTCTTGCAGCCCGCTTTGCGTTCGCGGGGGGACAGGTTGTTGGGGGGGTCGACGGACCGCTCCAGGTTCATCCTTCCACCTGTTGCCATAGAAACGACCTCAGCCTCCCGCTGGGCGTCGGCCTCCGGCAGAGACATCTGAGCCAACAGGTCCTCCACCGCACGTTTACTCCAGTCCTGCAAAACACGGACAACTTTGAACTTGTTTACAGTGTAGAACAACTGCTAGTCTGAGTCCTGCCCGAGCCCTCCATTGCTTCACATGATCTTCTGTCTTCAAGCTTCAACATGAAAAGTGATGAACATTAACAGCTTAATGAGCGGAGAGAATGTCAGAGACTCTGTGACTTCAATCTGAAGAAATATGAAGAACAAAGTGAAAACAAGAATAAAAATGTAGAAAAACAATGTGGATTCAAGCCAGATGTTGGTCGCACAGCAGCCTGACTCATCTTATAGTCATGATGTTCAGCACAGCCTTGACTCTGGATGTTTTTAATGTGTTTATTAAATGTGGTGCATCTCAGACTGTTGGGGGACTGTTTTTATGTTTTATTTCTGTTTCATCTTTATTTGTTGATTTAACAAAATTAATTAACAATTTGTATTCATTTTTTCTTAAATTTCATTCATTAGTTTATTTTTATTGTATATCGAATGTGTCACTGATCTTTCTGTTGTTATTATTATTGCCTTTCTTTTACTTTGTAAACTCTGTTTTTAAAGGTGCTCTATAGATAAAGTTATTATTATTATTATTATAATATCTGACTGAAGAGTTGATGTTTGTGGATGTTAATGAATGAGGCGTCTCGCAGAATTCAACTTATCCTCTCATGGAGTTCCTCAGGGCTCCATTCTGGGTCCTTTACATTAAATGACAATATGGTGTACATGCGTATACAGCTTATTCACTACCAGAGTCTCTCTCTGTGTGTTGAACACAAAGCAACTAGTCAGCAGTTAGTAGAGCTGCAGTAGAGATGATGTCAGAAGAACAGAAGGAGAAACATCATGAAGGACTTGGACATCAACAGGTTTATATGAACAAATATGTTTTAGAGAAGCTGTTTGAAGGAATGAAGGAGGGAGGCTGAGTTCACACTTAAACGTGGATATTCATTTTCACAAGCTCTGTAAACAGCATAGTAGGAATATTGTCTTTTATTTTGGTAGGTGTGTTCCTGGACAGGAAGTAGCTCTGTTTACAGATTGTGTAACATTTTAATGTTCTTTCTGTTTGTTTTTCATATACGAAAGATGATGAAGCTTTAATACCAAACCAACAAGTTTGTCTTCATCACTTAAAAGACATGTTGAATGTCAGTTAGTTTACTTAGTTTTCACTGATGCTAATGTTGTTAGCTGTTAGCATTTATCCTGTAATGGTCACAAGTAACTAACACACGATTCAGTGACAGAGTCTCACTTTACACCTGAATTACATTTTGAGGTTCTGCAACACCAAAACAAAGTGAAGGAACTTTAAAAGAGTCAGACCAAAATAATCATGTTTCTCAGTGGAAATACAGCGTTCTGATTGGCTGTCGGCTCTCTCACCTGTGACAGGAGGCCGGCGCTGCGAGCTCGCTGCAGCAGCCTATTGGGATGCAGCTCCAGGTCCAGGTCCCGGTTCCGGTACTGCTCCTGGTCCTGATCTCTGTCGGGCTGTGAGGAAACACCCGGGCCGCACAGGACCAGTGCCAGGAGGACCAAGACGGCGGGACAACAAACGTACTGCATACCTGCCAAAAATAATCGTGAGGAGAAGAAGAACATTTACACCAAGGAACGAAGAAGTAGAACGACAAAGAAAGAGAAGAACAGAAGGTTCCTACTGTCGGCTGGTCTAGTTTCTTCTGTCTGCTGGATCTGGTCTCTGGTCTCTGGATCTGGTCTCTGGATCTGGTCTCTGGTCTCTGGATCTGGATCTGGTCTCTGGTGCTGGTTCTGGTCCTGGTCCTCTGGGTGCTGCTCTTTTTGAAGCCGGATGCTCCTCCTCCCTTAGGTCACATGGCGCGCTGTGTTTTGATTGGCAGCTAGCGGCGCTGCGGGGTGATGAAGGAACGCCGACATTCCAGTTAAACACACGTCCATTAGTGCTTATTGACTTTAAATGGAGTCGTAACAATAAAAGCATCAAACTATCAGCAGCTCTGCAGCCGCCTCGTCTTCAGCAAACACGACGGCAGAATGTCCGGCTGAATTAACGGAGCGTTGGGAGGATTAGCAGACTTCATTAGCGCTCGCTGATATCTCCATTAAACAGAGACGCAGCAGCAGAGAGTCGCCCACTCCACGTTTAGTGAGAACAAACACAGAAACACTTCCTGTGAGTTTCTGATGAGCTCACATGGCTGAATGGAACACTTAGAAAAGACTCATAACAGAAATACTTCGAGGCAAAGTTCCTGAAGTAGAACATCTAATTCTGCTGCTCCGAGATCAAATCATATAACAAATATACAACATTCATCTTAATGAAGAATAAAACACATTGATTTGTTCCTTTTGTTCACTCTTGTATAAAAATCTTAAATCTAATAGATAATTAATAGATATCCAGGGTTTTGTACGGTGGCCCAGAGAGCTCAACTCAACTGAAGGCCAGACATCAAATATACTGTTGAGTTGGTTCAATACTGACAGAAGCTTCAACACAAAGTTCTCCATCAGCAGCGGCCATCTTGTTTGTTTAGGACGATGACACAAAGACTTTATTATTATCAGATGAACAGCTGTGATTGGTCCTGAATGTCTCAGGCCACAGTGAGGTTCCCATGTAGGTGAAGTGTTTAAGTTTGAGTAGAGGAAAGAAGAGAGCTGCTTAATGTTTGATTCATGTTTCATGTCAACGTATCCTCAAACAAACAGTTCTTATGTCATCCTAAGAAAAGTTACACATTTTTTTAGGTGTTTTCCTACTAAAGTTCAGCAACACGTGTCAGTTTCTGCTCATTATATTAATACAGTCTTTTCAAAACTTCTGTCTTCACAGGAAACTACGTAGTTAGATTTAGACAACAAAACTACCTAGTTAGGTTGAAACAACAAAACTACTTATTTAGGTTGAGACAACAAAACTACTTAGTTAGGTTTAGATGACTAAACTACTTAGGTTTAGACAACTAAACTACCTAGTTAGGTTTAGACAACTAAACTACTTAGGTTTAGACAACTAAACTACTTAGTTAGGTTTAGACAACTAAACTACTTAGGTTTAGACAACTAAACTACTTAGTTAGGTTTAGACAACTAAACTACTTAGTTAGGTTTAGAAAACAAAACTACTTAGGTTCAGACAACTAAACTACTTAGGTTTAGACAACTAAACTACCTAGTTAGGTTTAGACAACAAAACTACTTAGTTAGGTTTTATTAAATAATGTTGGTTTGAGTTGTGATGAATATGAAGTACCGTTACTGTCCTCTTTGTGACATTTATGCATCTTTGGCTGTTCTGAACTGAATTTGGGACTTTTAATTTCAAAATCTGTGTCAAGTTGTAGAGTTTAGTGAAGTCGTCTACCTTTATTTTCATGTGTCACGTGAGGAGGACATTCAGTTTTGATAACAAAAATCTCAGTGAGAACTGAAAGAAAATTTGCATTTTCAAGCAAGTTACGTGACAAATTAATCAACGTTGATTTCTCGTTTCACATGAAGAACAAACGACGGTCTGCTGGAGGATCCATCTACCTCCTCTCCGTCCTGTGTGACACGCCTTGTTTGGTTCCTGTCGTCCCTCCAGCCTCTGATTACTGATCGTTACCTTCACCTGAGTTTCACCTGGACTCACCTGCAGCCCGTTCCCTCATTAGTACCTCTGTGTATTCACACGTTAAGTCTGTTACTCCTGCCGGTTCCTTTTGACTGTCTTTTACATTTTGTTCGCTACTCAGACTGTTTACCTGGTTTGACCCTTTGCTTGACTCTTAATCTCACCTTTGAAGTAAACCACTTCTCCCTGAACTTGAGTTTGCGTGTTGCTTTGTTCTTTTGGGTTCAATCCTGCCTCCAGTTGTTAGACTGAGTGTGTTTTAGTTTTGGCTCATAGGTTTAGGTCAGAATGCTGGATGAGACCTGTTTCTGTTCATCAGTAATCTGAGCGATATACGGAGCTCTTTGGTGATGTTTTTATATTGATGTGGTGAACATGGTTAACATATAGTGGTGTTTGTTGTTTATGTGAAGTGCACATGATGCTTGTTGATACGTATTTGAAAAATGAACCTGAACAAAAGAATTTGGTTTAATGATTTACTGTTAGAACGTAGAACTAGACGGGATGTAATAATGATTGAGGTCTCTTACTACAAACTGTAATTATCTTTCAGGACGCTGAACCGTCACGACCACGTCACCACGAGGAAGTGTTAATTAAATAGACCGCTAAAGAACACACAGGTGATTGAGTACAACAAACATCTTTCAGCCAAACAAGAAGTCAACATTCATTTATTTGTCACGTAACTTGCGTTACGTTCTTTTCCTAAACGTAGAAATTACTTGAATTAGTTTTGTTGCCTCCACTTAACTATTATAGATCTATCTATATACATACTATATCCATCCATCAGTCCATCCGTCCGTCTATCCATGCGTCCGTCCTCCAAACATCAGTCGTCTGCTGCTAAAATAAATCCGCCTCCTCCTTTGTCTTCATCACTTTCTCAGAATGCTAATAAACGAACATTAGCAGCAGCTGGTTGCTGTGGAAACACGTTAACCGCAAGCAGCGGTTGCTGAGGAGCCACCGGTATGAACACACACACACGCACGCGCGCGCGCACACACACACGCGCACGCACACACACACAGGGGCATGATGGGAGAGTGATGACATCGCTCCCCCCGTGATGCGTTCATTGTTTTTGTTTCCACTCTGAGTCACTGAGTGAAGTCACCGACATGTAAATGATTTAATTTAAACGTCTCATCAGGACCAAACTGAGCTGTTACAGGAAAACTGTATTTAAATGATGTTTTCCATTATGTTTTATGTAAATATTCATACATATTATATTACTACAGCTCACAGATGAATCTGATTGAACTCATTCTCTGGACTCTCTGGTGTGTCTTGTTGTTCTTATTTATAAAAAAACATTTTGTTGTGCGCTACAATAAACTATGGTTATGATTGTAATTATTATTATTATTTAGATGTATAATCTTATTCTCACTGCAGCTGAACAAGGAAACTGTCTGTTGACATAAAGAGGGCTATTTTTTAAGTAGCAACTTTACATTTGGAAGATTTCTACTTAATTCAGTCTCAGTCAGAATGCTGAAAATTAAATAATACACTTTTACACTTTTTCATAATTATTTATTGAGCTTTTTTTTTACAGAAGAGATTTAGCTAAAAGTGATCAACGTGTCTGCAAACAACATTTGATATATCTGATACTTTCCTATGGAAGCCAGAAACACGTCTGAAAATAAACTTTAAGGAGAAGACGGTGGTTTTGATTGAAATAACGACAGAAGTTAAGAGAACAATGGTCTCCTGGGTGAAGGAGAGCAGCCCGAAGTGCTTTACAATAAATAAATAAAAATACGACACATTTAAACACGAGCAAATATACTTTAAAAGTAGACCCTAAAAAGACAATCGATGCCTCAAAAGAAAGGCAAAGAGCATCGAGAATAGTGAAAATGAGGAAAACACGTAATCCTTCAACTTTATCGTGTTTTCCTCCAGTTTTCAATGAACATGATTTTATTATTATAATATTGTTATTATTGTTATTATCTATATTTTCATATTAAGTCAACAAAAAAAATCAAAAGCCACATTAAATAGGTTTTAGCTGTTTAAACATCTTCACATCTTCAAATATGTATTAGTGCTGGGAAAGTTAACATGTTATTATCGTGTTAACGCATTAATTAATTAACGCCGACAATTATATTATTGCACGTTAACGCAGTTTTTTTATTATTATTAAGCGGATATTTTTAACACAAGAACGGCAGCGAGCGGTGAACAGCTGTTTGTGTGGCGTCTCTTCCGTCTCTTCCTGTTTCCTTCACCTACATTCCCCTGGGTCCTAAGTCCCTCCATGTACAGCTTATCACCCTCTATGTACCAACGTACATTTATAACAAATACAACACATATTACGGTAATCAGCGTTGCATATGTGTCTGACCAAAATACCAAAAAAAGCAAAAAAGAAATGATTCATTTAAATTATTATTTTAGAGTTTTTAAAGTGTTTTGTTTGTAATATGTATAATAAGCATCATTTAGTATCACTACTATGAATTTAACAAACATAAAAACATGACGTAGATAGGTTTGCAGTTTTCAAGGTGTATATTTAAATTGCATCTCTTACACACATGAAGATAAAGTTATGAACACCGGCTGAATATCTATGATCAGAATCATTATAACTGTGTTATAACTGCTGCTGTGTAAAGGGAATACTGCTGCTAACAACAACCTGATGTGTTTAAAGTGTTTACAAACCAAATGTTATTGACCTGTTGTTCATATAGCAGGACTTTAAAATAAAAGTGCTCAATACACTACTTTTGAATTCATTACTGAATTTTGCGCATAACAATGAGATTAATCGCAGAAAAATCATGCGATTAAAAATTGTAATTGTTGCCCAGCACTAATATATATGTTTTATTATCACAGTAACTGTTTCTGGAAGATTTTAGTGTTTCGGCTCTTCTGTTAGATTTATAATATATAATATGTAATTATATATTATATATATTATAATACAAGTATAATACATAGTTCAATCACTTGTTCTCTGTCAGATTGTCTTCATTCATGTTTCCTGCCTGTTCTGTAAATGTATGAATATATATTTAAATATTTTGTTGTTGTTATTGTTGTCCATAAATCTCAGTTGTTCCTTTCACATAAATCAAACATTATTACAGAAACGTGTGACGACTGATTTGACTGAACGTTTGTGTGATGAAGGCCGTACGTTTCTCCACCAGATGGCGGTTGTGTGTGTCATGTGACCAGATAATTCTGGTGGCTCCTGATTGGTTGAAACCACCCGGCGAACATAACTGGATATTATGAGAGAATATTTTCAACCCAACTGGAGTTCTTCATGATGGATTATGACAGTAAAAATTAACTTAGTGGTTGTCAACATGTTGGCCTTGTTTGTCAAAGTGTGGAAGTTTTTCTTATATTTTTAATACTCATATTATTTTCTGGTTAATAATGAAGTCATGACATGTGACTTTATAAGATTTAAACCTTTTTAATAAACAGGAAACAACAGGAATTGACTTCTGTAAAACATGTTTTATTAAAACTCAACAATCATATCCGTGATATTTATGTACAAGAGAGCTTCTAAAGACGATAACGTCGTATTATTTAATGTTTATTATCAGCGTTTAAAAAGAAGAATATGTAAGAAAACTTTATGATAGAAGGCAACTACGTCACCCAGAGTGCTTTGCTGTTTGAATCTTCCAATCAGAGAGCTGCGCGCTGTTGCCGTGCAGAAAATAAAAATATGTTTTTCTTTAACTTGTAGTTCTGTTTTTTTGGAGGTCCGTCTGGAGGCTGTTGGAGGAACTGCAGCTTCTTCTTCTATGGTGTTTCAGCTCTGCCTCCTCTGGCAGAAGGAGGTACTGCAGCTCCAGTCATCATAGTAGTATTAGTGGTATTAGTAGTGCTGACAGTAGTGATTGTTGTACTTGTACTAGCAGTAGTACATACAGTAATGGTAGCAATAGTATTAGTGATGAGAGTAGTATTAGTACTTTACCTAGTACCAGAAGCAGTACTAGCTGAGAGTACTCACAGTAGTAGTAGCAGTGCTTAAGGCAGTAGTAGTAGCAGTATTTAAAAGTTGTAACTACTAGAAAAGCAGTACTTACAGTCGTAGTGTGTAATAGTAGTAGTAATTGGGTACACTAACTGATTTTTACATCAAAACTTGGGGCATGTATTAAGTACACCGAGTACCACTGTACTGTAGTAGCAGTAGTAATAATGCACAAAGAACTACAATTAATAATTATACTTTTAGTATTTGTAGTATTCTTATTACTCTTACAACAGTAGCATGAGAAGCAGGATGATTATTACTACAACATGCTTTGTTTTTATTCTATTCATTTTACTTCTGAGTATTGTATTAAAGTACAGCTTTGTCAGCTGAGTATTTCCAATTTTACTCTGCTACATCTCAGAGAGAAGTACTTTACTCTGTACTTCCAGGTACTTTGACGTATAAAGTTTTACATCAGAACTGGACATCAGCTCTGATGTTGGCTGCAGTTTAATCTCTAATGAAGTATTTTTTGATAGTGAGGCGTTGCTATTTGGTAGTATATGTAGCAGTAACAAACGTAGTAGTTGAAGTAGATGTTGCAGTAGTAATAGTAGTAGTAACAGTTGAAGTATTAGTTGCAGTAGTAGTATTTACAGTAGTAGTATCAGCAGTATCAGCAGTATCAGCCGCGTTGATGTTCACAGCTGCTTCAGACAGACTCGACAGCGGCTGATCAGACTGCCTGGAAAGTGTCCGGTATCCGTCTGAGGCTTGGGTTTACTGCAGAGACATGTTGGTGCATCAGCCAATCAGGTGACTTCATTTCATCTTACAGCTTTAGATTTAGACACAAACTATATCTAGAATCTTTTTTTATGTTAAATATTCTGGTCCTTTCTTTTTGGTTCATCACATCCACGACTGCGTTTTAAACCTCCTCAGCTGCTGGTTGAACTAACGCTGCCGCCTGCTGGTGTTCACAGGGACTGCAGGATTACATGAGAATCTGCTCCACATGAAGGTGAAACACTGAACTTTATGGTCAACATGTTGTTTATATGTAATGGATTCATAGTTGGAACAACAAATATACTTGACTTAAGGCTTAATGATACTGACAATATCAACTAGTACAATACTGCAGATGAACCCCTTTACACTCAATATAGTGTGATTCTGTATGCTGTATTTTCAGAAGAATTACACAGTTGTGTAACTGAACGTGTTTGTTGTGTCCCTGAATACGTTAAGGACACGGTTGTGTACCTGAAGGTGGATGTGTTGTGCCCCTGCGGGTGATCCTACCTGAACATGTCGTTGGGGTTGAGAGCAGCCAGCCAGTAGCTGTAGGAGTCGGTGTAGTAGTTGCAGGTTCCTCGGCCGTGACACTCGATGAAGGGAATCTTCCTGAAGTTTTGCAGACAGGATCCAGGTGAGGCCAGAGGCTGACCCGACCCCTCCGCCCCCACTCCTGTTTCCTACACACCAACAGCATTTACAGCCAGGGTCAAAGGTCAAAGCAACAACTCACACAACCATTGTCCACACATCTCTGAGATCATTGTGACCATTTTAGATCAGAGAGCAGAGCTCATGCTAGTGCCTGTAAAGAGAGATTATTACTGACCTGATGACTAAGATCTACTTTCATGTTTCACATATCAGTCACATTTGTGCTGGTTTTGGGAGGTTGTGAACCTTTATTTTTTAAAGTGTGCCTTAGTTTCAACTTGACAAAATGTAGCAATGGCCATATTTGGGGAAAGAGCTGATGGTATCTGAACACTTCTGTGAGTTTTAGTTTCTTATATTTTTTGAGATCTCAGCTTATCTTTTGACATGAAAGGTTTGGTAGCCCTTCAGTGAACTGATGAAACTGACTGACTACCACAGCACCACTCACCATGACGAAGGAGTATCCGAACCAGAGACCGTGCCAGCCTGACGGACACTCTGGGATGATGTTGGTCTGACTGTGGATGGCCATCACGTTGGCTCTGGCCTCACACACGGTACACCTTCAACACAGGAAACACACATGGTTACTAACAGGTTCATGGTAAACACATGCTTGTTGTTTTGGTAACACAGTGTGTGTGTGTGTGTGTGTTACCGGCTGATGTAATTCCTCAGTGAATCCCCGGAGATTAACGGCATGCCGCCCGGCAGCAGCTCGTCGGTGGACAGCCAATAGGAGTAGTCGTTGCGTGAGGCGTAGCGACAGGTGCTGTCAGTGTTACAGAACAGGAAGGGCATGGTGGTAAAACGAGGTAAACAACTACCTAATGTACCTGAAGAGAGGAAGAAGGACAAACCGATTACTTACTGTTTACTGGTGTTTATTAGTCCATCTTAAACTTTAACTAACCGGTGCAGTGCAGTACTTGATGTACTTAGTTACCCAGGTCTTGTCCATGAGCCCGGTTGTTTCCGTTGATGAACAGCAGTGAGTATCCGCTGTACATCTCTGTAGATCCTGCAGGGCATTCTGGGATGAAGAGATTCTGGCTGTGTCTGGTGAACATGAAGGCGTCGGTCTCCGGCGTGTCCCTGCAGGGACCCGATCGACCTGGAATACCTTTAGCACCGAGCAAACCCTTCGGACCTGCAACACCTGCCAACACAGAGTCGGTTCTGAATGAAGCAGGGGGTCCAGATGAATGAAGCCTCAGATGGAACTACATACAGATTACTTTGCTGCTCCGAATGCTGCAAACAGACTGTGTTTACAAAAGAACAGCAGGAACTTAGGACGAGAATGACTTCCGTAATGTTTCCAGATTTCTTACCTTTTGATCCAAGAAGACCTCGGTCTCCCTGATCCCCTTTCAATCCAGGACGGCCACCTAGTCCTCTTCTACCAGCCCTCCCTCCGATGCCCTTCAAACCTGCAGCCACAAAACACAAAACACTGCTTCTAAAAATCTATTAACTAAAAAAAAGCATTTCTACTGTTAATACCGATCACGCCTTAAGCCTTGAAATATCATTCCAGACTCACCTGGACCTCCAGGTATCCCTTGGGTCCCTGGGGGTCCCTTTTCTCCTTTGAGTCCTGGGTCTCCGGCTGGGCCTTCGTCTCCTGGCAACAGCACCACCTCCCTGGATACGTCCACCCCTCTCTGGCCTGTAAGGGGCAGTATTCAGTAGGACATTTGGTACTTCAACCAACATACAGTATTCAGTACAGAGGCAGTACATTATTGTATTAGTATTAGTTAGCACTACTGAGCAGTATTGTGTAATGCCACTGGGTTACCTCTCCTCCCAGGTGGTCCTGGAGGTCCTGGCGAGCCAACGTAACCTGGTGGTCCCTCCTCCCCCTTTAAACCTGAAACACAACGTCCAATACAAAACAAAGATTCATGTCACCTGATTTTTAAGTTTCTCTTTCAAAAGTTATACCTGATATATTCTATTAGACTGACTAATGCATGTAAAGAGAGAATGTTTTGTTTGTAGTTGTACTGGTCAGTATACTGGTTATCTGACTGGAGTTCTTACCAACAGGTCCTGTGACACCAGTGGGTCCCATCTGGCCTTCAAGTCCTCGAGGGCCTGGTGGTCTGTCTTCACCCTTTCAACCACAACAACTGTTTTAAATAAACTCCCTCAGATGTGTTTTTAAGTGACGATTTAATCAAACGTTACTTGATGCTTCCAGTCAAAGATTATTTAGAAATACTTTTACTTAGACAGCATTGACGAGATACTTCCAGTCCAGGATCTAAGGTCTAAGATGAGTTGGATTCTGAGTGGCAAATTCACAAAAGGATTGCGCGGCTCAAAGACTCTTTTTAATGCAAAAGAGCCTCATATCAAAAACTCAAAAAAGGATCAACCCTGACAGACACATGCAGATACAGTGAGATGTATTAGCTGAAGCACATCTACATCTATAGATTCAGTTGCATTTCTGTGGTACTTTAGAGTTGTAGAATGTGCTGACCGGTTTGCCTCGAGGGCCAGGGTCACCAGGGTAACCAGGTGGTCCTTGGAAACCTGTTGCTCCTTTAGATCCCTTCTCTCCTTTAAAACCAGGACCTGGAGGACCAGGAGGACCCCGAAAGCCTGCCGGACCTACAGCGAGAGAGACTTGGTTATTATACATGACTACAGAAACATTTCAGTGAAGGTAATTCAGCAGCTGTGTTCTTTTAATCTTCATTCAGAGCCTCGTATATAAAGGACTCTAGTTGGATATAGTTTACCTGTCTTTGTATGCAGATGTTGATTTGTGATTGTCTGATTTATGTAAGCGGAAACAGTGAAAGTCCAGATCTACTGAATTAAACTGCAGGTGTGAAAGAGACCTCTGAATCAACATCAAAGTACAGCCGAGGCTGATGACAGACTTTTTCACACCTAGCAGTGCATTGGGACCAGGCGGCAACCTCTGGTTCTTTAAGTGAAGCCAGAGCTTCATGTGTCTTGCACACGACGCCCCCAAATGTGGGGGTTCTCGGGCTTTGGGGGGGGTAGCAAACATCATCCAAAAAATGCTCATATTGATAGCGGATATTGTACATGTGTACATTTTATATACCGGATTAAACAGCAACGTATGGGCAACACTATCATATAAGTCACTTTTTACACACTCCAAACACAACTATACACTACTATTATAAGCAACTAGAAAATGTGGCATAAAACCACGAATTTGTGGCCACAAATCGGCGTCATATTTACTGAGCTTCGATATTTGAACACCATGCTAACGGCTACACTGCTAATCAATACATCGCCTAGCATTAGCATTCAACGCAGAACGCATAAATGCCTTCGGTTTTTCTCTCCGTGAAACCAGTACAAAGCCAACACAACAACGGCAACACAACAGTTCCCTTCACCGGAAAAAATCGTTGGTATTTGCTTACCTTTATGAAGAAATCACAAAAATAACGGCGAAAATTATCCGGTTCAAAGCTAGAAACATTGTTGGCAACTGCATCCTGTCTGTTTTTCATCCGTTTCCTGTAGAAGGGGGGTCAATCTAACTTGCTGGACCCGTGGATGTGTGGTCAGACTTTTGGCGAATGGAATTTTACGCTCGGGGATGCGCGGCACTCTTTGCATCTTTACTCGCTGAAAATTCTGTGAATCAACACCCGGCTTTGACGCCCACCTTCCTGAGACTCTGGCGCGTCGAAGGCGGGCTCATTGACTGAAATCGACCGATGACAGGCTGAGCTAGAGCCCCATACACACACAGTAACTGGAATTCAGACAAGAAAATCCCATGGATGAGAGCCAGAAACAGGCTCTGAGAGGACCCTGGCTCTCAAAATGATGCCAAACGGCTGTATTTGGATGTATTGAATAATATGAGTGATAAAAAAGTGAAATATATAGTTATATAGTATATAAAAGTACAATGTAAGAGCTGCAACAGCTGGTTCCAAAATGACGACCTCGCGTGACCTCTCTGTACTAAAAGCCTCTTATTCTTCACTTTATCCCAGCCAAACATTATTCTACGACTACTGATCAGTTGTGCTATGATTTGGGAGAGTTTTTAGGCTCTCAGCTGCATTATTTCAAAAAGAAAATATTCATAAAAGTGTTTTTTTTTCAGGCGAACCTGAATATTTTCAATTTGAGCTGTGTAATATCTTCATGCACTATATTAACCAGCAACATACACACAATATTTACCCATCTGAACAATCTCAAAGTGTTATCTGATTATAGCATTAAAAATGATTAAAATAGACCTTGTAGTTACAGAATTTAAGTCTCTTTAGTATGGGTATGCCTTTTTCGAGCAGAGGCCTAAAAATAGGGCTAGAGCTTAAGAGAGCTGCAGGGGGCGACTCCTCTGGTTGTATAGAAGTCTATGAGAAAATGACTCTACTTCTCTCTTGATTTATTACCTCAGTAAACATTGTAAACATGAGTTCATGGTCTCAATCTCTAGTTTCAAGTCTTCTTCAATACACCATGATGTTCATTTAGTACATTATGGTCCATTTAGAGTCAAACAGACCATAAAGCAGGGGATGCTTTAGGGCGGGGCTACACAGTGATTTCCACATTTCATCACAATCAATCCAATAATTGTTAACATATTTAATAGTGCTGAGAGGAATGGGAATTTAAACATCAACATCTAAAGATCGAGAGCAGCTACCACATGGACCTTGTGGTGAGATTGTTCTGTCAAATCATTGTTTCATTTATTATCTCAACGTGTCTCGTAACCTTTTGGTCCTTGTCCTCCAGGCAGTCCATTTTCTCCTTTGCTTCCTTCAATACAGACTCCCTCCTTGCCGGCACAACCAGGAGGACCAGGAGGTCCAGGAGGACCAGGACAACCTGGGTTTCCCCCAGGACCATGGGGACCAGGTGGACCACAGACACCAGGAGGACCCTGCTCCCCGGGATACCCTGAGGAGACCAGAGGAGGTGGAGGGTGTGTTTTATTTTCCTCTTCTTTAATTCAGCCTGAAATAAACTCATAATCACACCTGAGGACTCACCAGGTGGACCCGTCTTCCCATCTGGGCCCCGGGTCCCGGTTCCAGGAGCTGGGGAAAGAAAACCAATCCAGCCAATGAGACCACCATCAGGCTTTGTTTATGAGCTGGATCTGAAACCTAAATTGTGTACAACAAAACCAAACAGAATGAAGATAGTGGCTGATCACAATCCAATCAGATTCAGGTCTCCTACCTCCCATTGCTCCTTTCTCTCCAGGAGGTCCAGGTATCCCATCCTGTCCCTGGTTTCCTCTGGGACTAGCTGGACCAGGAACTCCAGGAGCCCCCTTGGTACCTAAAAAATGAAATTCCTAATTAACCGACTGAGAGGAAAGACAGACGGTAGAGCTGTCAACAGAGACATTAAAGTATTTAAAGTACATTAGTACTGTAATACTGATGGCATTAATACTACTGTCACTGTGGGTTATGTACCTGTGAGGCCGGTGGGTCCTGGAGGGCCATTTTTCCCCGAAGGACCATCACAACCCTTTTCACCAGGAGTCCCAGGAGGACCTGATGAGGACACACAAGGAGACAGATTGTGTTGCTTTCAGAGAAAAACTGTCCGCTAGCTGCTCAGTAGATGATGTATAAACTGTAATGAATCATACCTCTGCATCCTTGGGGTCCAGGATGTCCTTTGGGGCCACAGGGGCCACAGGCTCCTGGGGGACCAAAGTTTCCAATGTCTCCCAGTTCCCCCTTTGTACCTGGTGCTCCTGAACATCCTGGATTTCCCTGAGAGGAGGACCCAGGAGGAGAAGACATTTTATTCTTGTATGTATAAATGTATAACAGAAGATATATCATGAATTCATACAGCTATTTTTCTGACATCTCTGTGGGACACTAGCCCACGAAGGTTGGTCGGATTACACCGACCAATGCGTTGTGAATCACATCACGTGATGCAGCTCATCCAATCAAATATGGGTATTCTGACGAGTTTCCTGACTTGAGTGAGATGTACACACACCGTGACACAGGGGGAGAGACGAGGAAATAGAGAGCAGAGCAGGACTGTTGAGGTGTGAGTTGTAAAAGTCAAATCATAGAATGATTTCCAAAAGAGAAGAATGGCCAGAGAGACCAGAGTCATTAGACTCTGACTGGACAGACTCATATAGGTGAATTCTTCCAACACTAATTTCTCTTTTTAGTAGATGAGAAAAAATATAATATTGTGGCTTCATCACTTCACCCTGAATGAACTGAATTTAAAGCTGCAGGACAATTCAGTGAAAATAACTTTTCTAAAATGAATTTTGTTACGCAATTTATTTTTTAATCCAGCCATTATTTTACTTGAAATGAGAAGAACATTTATTCATGTATTTGTATGCATTATTTATAATCCACCCAGTTACATTTGAAAAATTTGAATAATATTAGTTAAAATATAATTGAATATAATTGTACTTTCTTTGATTTGGCAGTTGTTTACTACACAGAGACGTTACTACTACTAGACTTCTTGAATATAGATATACCCAAATTATATATATAATTTGGGTCGTGGGTCGCGGCTTGCCATTAAGAGGTGATGGTGGGTCCCGCAGCCAGACCAGTTGAGAACCACTGAGGTAAAGGGTACAAGGACGTTAAAATGATTTGTTATAGGATATACCTCGAATATCGATACCCAATCACATCCCTTTTCTGCAACTAACTATATTAGCTTGACCTCTAGTTTAACGAGCACACATTTTAGACTAATCAACCTGGTTCGTCTGACAGAATTCATAACTGCTGATAACATTCTTGTGGAGTAATTTGTTAAACTGGCACTATTGATAAAAAACCTGATACCTTCTCTCCTGGAGGTCCTTTTGATCCGGGTCCAGGTGGACTTGTTTCTCCTTTAGAACCTTTAAGTCCTCCTGGTCCTGGTATTCCATCTGATCCAGGTTTCCCACAAGGCCCTGTACAACCTTTCCCACCTTTAAAACCTGGACAGAAAACAGACAGCTGAAGTTGTTCTTTCACAAGCTTTAGTGTTGCTGCAGAGTCTTTAATCTATATAATTAATGATGAATAATTAAATGATAGGTCCATTTCCAGCAGGTGGATCAGTATAAACTCACTGAAGCTGATCAACAACCCAAGATAAAGATCATATTTGTGTTGAGGGGGAACGTTACCTGGCTTCCCCATCTCTCCTTGGTTACCGTTGAGTCCACAAGGACCAGGAGGACCTCTCTCTCCATCTCTGCCGGTGTCTCCAGGAGGTCCTGACAGACACACAAACATCCATTAAGTCTATAAATAGGATTTGACAGTCACATAAATAAGAACTCATCACTCAGGACTTGTCATATCTTTCAGGAAGACTAGATACTCAGTTTGTTGTGGTCACCTTGCGGTCCGCCATCTCCAAGTCTACCGGTTCTGCCGTCAAGGCCCTGTGGCCCTGGGAGGCCCCTTTCTCCTTTACTACCAGTGAAACCTGTGGGCCCTGAGGGTGAGACAGGAAACAGCCTAAAAAGGTCACAGACAGGTAGAACAATACACCTGGAGTATATGTATTTGAAGGTATAGCTCAAATGATTTCTAGCGGTGGTTCCCATTTAGTTTTTTTGTCTGACATACACCTACAACAATTACCCTTTGGACTGAGCCAGGGCAGAAGTTTCCTCTTGTTTCCAGTCTTTATGCCAAGCTAAGCTAACCTGCTGCTTACGGTGGCAATATGTAAGGGACAGAGTCAAAGTATTGGGGCCCAGAATAGAACCCTGAGGATCACCGACGTAAAACATCTAACAGTTTTAGAATAGAGTACCAGGGTCTCCAGGGTCTCCAGGATCTCCGTACACCTCCACAGCTGTCTGGAATCCTTTTGGTCCAGTTTCTCCTCTGTCCCCCTGGGGCCCCTGAGGCCCCTGAGAACCACTGACCCCATCTACACCCACCTGACCTGACAGACAGACAGGTCATAGACAGTTAGAGTCAGACAGAACTGATTAATTGATTAATTGATTGATTGATTGATTGAAACCTTTGGGTCCCGGTCGTCCAGTCTCTCCTGGTTTCCCATCATCCCCTGGACTCCCGAGGGCTCCTAGGGGACCCACGTCTCCTCTGATACCTAAAACACATATGTGTGAATGTCTGTGGTTCAAAGTGTGTATCAGGAGGAGCAGGTGTGGCCACGCCTTGTTACCTGTGCTTCCTGGCTCCCCATTGGTCCCTCTCAGGCCCTTCAGTCCAACTTCTCCGACTGACCCCGGAGTTCCATCAAACCCGGGAACCCCGTAAGACCCCTGAGGCCCCAGAGCCCCAACACCTGGTCGGCCATGGTCGCCCCTGTCACCCTTTGGGCCCCGCATCCCTGCAAGACAATATACCTGTTTGACTGAGGGACAGGTGAGTTTCCAAATCGTACAAAGTCTCTGCTCAGGAAATGAAGGTTCAGAACTTTACAGAAAAGCTCCTAAGTTCCTCCTTGTTAGCTTGTACAGATGTTACCTGTGAATCCGATGATGCCAATCCATCCCCGCTCTCCTTCACGTCCAGGAGATCCAGGTAAACATGATCCAACAGAACCACCAGGACCAGGTAAACCATCCAGACCACTACGACCTGAGAGACACATTTTCAGTTCACTTGAGAGGTATTTTCAAACCTCAGGTCTATCAGATCTTAAATTAGGGATACCTTTGGGTCCGGGTGGTCCGTCTTGTCCTGGAGGTCCTGGAACTCCATCTAGTCCTTGGGGTCCGAGGTTTCCTTGGGGCCCCACAGAGCCATCTTCCCCCTGGGGGCCCGACTGACCCTGCTGACCTGGGAAACCGATACCTCTGCTTCCCTATGACCACAGAGACCGACATGAAACGAACCACCGCAGCATGAGAAACAAAACAGGAAGTAGTATGATGATGTCACAAGACACGTCACGTCTAATTACATCGTTCTGTTTACTTTGTATGTAATTGTGCTTTCTCTGACCAAACAAAAGTATTTGAATGAAATAAATAGATAAAATATAACTAAGTAAAGAAAAAATAAAAATAAAAATAAAAATAAAAACAAAAACAAAAATTAAAATTAAAATTAAAATTAAAATGTTACATTTTCCTCTACTGCTGCTCCCATAATAAAAATAATACCGGTGATATATAACAATAATAATCGACATACTAGTGAGATCCTTAATTCTCTGTGTTCTGTCTGAACCTTTACTTTCTTCATGCGGAGGACTTCTTGTCTGTACGGGTCCACGTTACCTTGGTTCCCGGCATCCCTGGGGGGCCTGATGGCCCCGCCCGTCCCTTAACACCAAAATTTGGTACACCTGGAGCTCCTGGGGGGCCCTTGAGTCCTGAGCCAGAGAAAAATAAAAGCATTACATACGTATACTTATCATCTTCTTTAAACCCTTAGCTGGCTGTTTTATTCAATGCTAACCTTTGACCCCTGGAAAGCCTGGAGGCCCCTGGACGGAGAATCCTTCATCTCCCTTCTCTCCCCTTGGACCGACATATCCCGGAACACCTGGAAGTCCTGTCATACCTGAGACCAGCAGAGACAACAGGTGAGTCAGAAGTTCTGGTTCTAAAGTCCGAATTTCACCGAAGAAGGATGAGACGTTAGAAGCTGGACTCGTCTCACCTTCAGGTCCGGGGTTTCCAGATAAACCTCTCTCTCCTTTCTGTCCAGGATCTCCTGGAGAGGTTGTGATTTCACCTGGAGAACCTTTTTCACCTGAATGAACAAACAGAGTTCCTTTAACCTCAGAGTCACTGATGAAGGCTGATTATGACTCTTCAGAAATGTGTTTAAAGTTTAACTTTATGACTGTTGAACTTGTTGGTTCTGATACAATCACCACTGTCTCACAGCTACATTTTCTTTATTATAAATACATTGTGAGGTTTCTGCAGAGTTCAGAAGTTAGTCAGCTTTGTCAAAACATTCTTTCAAAACTTCATCAAGCGTTCACAAAACTCCATATGGTTTATTCCACTGAACCATCTGAGAAGACCTCATTGGAAAAGGGCTTGGCAGGTGATTGGATGAACCATCTGTCAATATAACTCTTACTGAGTAAGAAGACCATGTTCCATGAAGAAAAGCCTTCAGTGAAGAAATACCCTCCATCGGTGATAGAACTGATGCTATTAGCATCTACGCTAACCTCTTCAGGAGCCGCCATTGTTGTGTAGAACACACACTTAAGCCCCGCCCCTAGCTGCCAGTGGCTCCTCACAGGACTTTAATTGGTCTGAACCACTGTGGTTCGGACACAAATTATTACTTGAACCCCCCCTCCGCAGTCTCACCTGGCTTCCCAGGATCTCCTCGCGGTCCCAGAACCCCCACATTGCCTTTATATCCTGGAGGTCCTGGATCCCCAATTTCAGGTGGTCCCGGAGGTCCCACTTGTCCTGTTAGTCCTCTGGAACCAGTCTCACCGAGGGGGCCCCTGTCACCTTTTGGCCCCAGAGGACCCTGAGAGCAGCATTAAAGGGAGAACCAGCATCTTCTAAAATATCACCCCTAGACCGTCTCTCTGGACGAGGTCTCTGATACTCACAGGGTTTCCTTTTTGTCCCAGAACACCTTTGGGTCCTGTAAATCCTGAAGATCCGTCTCTCCCCTCTGAACCCGGAGGTCCCGGCTGGCCCCGGTCCCCCTCCTGACCCTTCTGCCCGACCCTCTGCATGATCCCAGGGTCACCAACTGGTCCTGGGGTCCCTGGGAGGCCAGGACCACCAAAGGACCCCTAAACCCAGAACAACAGACAGCAGAAATATGCAGCAGTGTCATTAGTCCTGTTTCAATATATGTGACTACTGGAACTAAACTCAGACAAAGTCTTCCTCATAAGTTTGATATTTACACACAAGGTTTTTAAACATCACTTCTATATGTTACTATTTGTGTCATTAGTCTGTTAATGTGTTTAAATTATTGTGCTTCGCTTAATTAATCAGAGATGAGAGGGATTTAAGCTTTCATTTTTTATAATTTGTATATTTCAACCTGTTGAAACACATTTGTTAAAGTCCTGGGGGGTTCGACTGTTGATGGTTGTTGTTGATTTTATTCATTTATGTCATATCATAAATGGACGGTTGAGCTAAAGCTATAAACGCTATAAGCTAGCAGCAGCTGTTACTTGTTGCCATAGCAACTGTAAACATCCAGATATCGTGGGCAACAACCGAAACAGAGAGACACGTTCTTCATATGAATAATGATACATTGTATAGAGATGGTATTTTGTATTATTGGATATATATTAAAGTAAATCTATTGGTATTCTGATATATATGAGAGGCATCTTGTTCTATAAATACTGTATATATATATATATATATATATATATATACACACACACACACATACATTCACATACATACAATGATATTGTGGTTTTAATATAATAGCCTATTTTGTATTTTATACACAATACTATATATTGATATTGTGATTTAGACATTTTTAGATTATATGTTTAAAACTACTGTATATTGGCCCAAGTCAGCAGCTGGACTTTGAAATCGAACTAACGAACGTTACCTGTAAAATGTACCACTGAAGACCAGACATGTTTTTTTCTTTTTTCTTTTTTTTCAAAAGTATTCCAATGTGAGGGGATAATCAGAATAACGGAGGTGGTTATTAACAACACAACTACAGTTGTCCTCTGTGATACAAGAGTTCATGCAGGTGATCTGTGAGCTCACCTGTGGACCAGCTGGTCCTCCAACACCTTTGACCCCTTTGTGACCTTTGGGTCCTGGAAAGCCGACTGATCCTGGAAATAGAATGACATCACAGAGACAGACAGGTGAGTTCTACCTGCTCGCCTACTTAACGCTGAATCTGATGCTAGATCAGATCCTGCTGTCTGCTGGTCTGGTCACTTTGAACGGGTTTCATTATTCTGTAACAACATTAAGTCAACAATTTGTAATTCCTATTATCTTGATATTGTGTCTTCTCTTTAAAACAACTTTTTGGAAATTAAATAACAACGTAAAACTCATAGAATGATTTTTATTTGTATATAACGGCGCTGACGTCAGTTGTTCAATCAATAGCTAAAATAATCAGAGTGAAACATCACTGACTCAGGTGTAGTTCTTACCTTTCGCCCCGTGTTCACCTGGCTCTCCGGGTTTACCTGGAGGTGCCGGGGGGCCAGGAATAAGCGGACAGTCCGAACACACCTCACCCTTCTCACCTGACCAAAAACAATCAATCAATTACACTTTCAACACGTTATCAACACACCACAAGACTTATTCTGTATTGTTTCTTAAGAACACCCATTCTAAATCTGCAGCTTGAACCCGGAGTGAAGTTCAGACCACAGAAACATGGCATCACTGGACTAAAATATCATATTTCACGTATTATCATATGATCTGACATCACACCTCCTCCTTCATCCTCCCACTCACCCGTCCGTCCTTCCTCCCCTCTGACTCCAGGGAATCCCAGCGGGCCTTTTGGACCTTTAGTTCCTGGAGGACCAGCGTCTCCCGGCAGGAATTCTGACAAGAAGAAGAAAAATGATATCAGAAAAGACTGAGTTGTTGAAAAGGTGGATTATTTTTCCTTTTGATAGTCTTTGTGCTAAGCTAGGCTAACCGTGTGACCTCATTTAAACTGCTCCTTAACCAAGAGAGTTGGTTGCTGGTTTTAGAGCATGGTTCCAAGAGACTTTATTTGAAGTCTCCATGTGATACATGTCCCTACCAAATATCATATATGTATGTCAAACGTAGCGCTGGGGCTGCGTTTTGGAATATTTGTAGGGGACGCTATCAAGGCAATTTTCAACGGTCAAGCCAAAAATCCATATGAAATATTTATTTCCATCACCTATGACACCTGTGCAAAGTTCCAAGGCTTGTTGAGCATCCTAAGTCACAGAAAAATAAGCTTAATTTTTCATGGTGAATGACGCGTTGCCACGGCAATGGGCGCCACATAAAATGAAGGTCGTTCAATGTCAGTAGACCATTTTAGTAACTTTTCATCATTAATATCTTTAGATCATCCTAACCAAATTTGAAGTCGATCGCATGAATTCTGTGGGAGGAGTTCTTTAAAGTACAACGTCTGAAAACGATGAAAATTGACAAAAAAGCCAAAAATGGCTTAACTACTGTATCGCTCCCAAGTGGTTGAATGGATTGAAAATTGTAGGGTACGTAACAATATGCGATGTGCACATATGAGACAAATTTCACGAATATAGGTTAGATGGTTTATGAGTATTGAAAAACAAAGCCACGCCTTATAAAGTCCATTGGTCCATATCTTCTAAACGTAATGAGATATCAAACATGTTTTGATAGAATGTTATTATATATATCCAATACTGATCCACAGCAAATTTAGTAGCAATCGGACTCAGCGTGTAGGAGGAGGTTGCAAAAATGGGTTTTTCACAAATTTCAAAATGGCGGAACATTTTGGTAGACGGAGCTTAGGGGTCCAAGAGGCTTTCTTGTAGACCTCATTTGGTGGCATGCCTGTGTAAAAGTTAATTGGACATACGGGATGAGGGGGCTAAATTCTAGGGGGCGCTAGCGAGCAATTTGTTCATGTTCGAGCGTGGGACCCATAAAATATCAAATTTTTCAGCAGTCCTGATATGCATGCCAACTTTGGTGAGTTTTTGGACATGATAAAGCCCCCAAAAAGGCGATTCATTCGAGAGAATAATAATAATAATAATTCCTAGTTTCAATAGGGACCTCGCGGCCCGACGTCGGTGCTCGGGCCCTAAATATAAAATGTGTTCAAAGTGTAGACACCTTTAGGTTCTTCCAGGACCTGGACAACAAAACCCTCCATCACCTGGTATTCCTGGTTCTCCTGGTTCTCCTTCAACTCCACGAGCTCCTGGGTTTCCAGTCTTTCCCGGGGGCCCAAAAACGAGGGGCCCCAGCTCTCCCGGTTGTCCGTTGGGTCCGGATGAGCCGGGCTGCCCCTGGGGGCCTGGTGGACCAGTGGGTGCCACACCTCAAGGGATGAAGAACAGTCTTCACTGAAGCATGTTACCAAACTTAAATACCTCAAATACAATGGGGCCCCCTGTGAGGTCGTATCATCTAATTGAATACTGTCTGATGATTGATTATTGATTGAAATTTGATCATTAACTCATCAATAACATTGACTGAGAGAGAGGAGGTGGAGTGTACCTGACTCGCCCTGCAGTCCAGGAAAACCAATGAGTCCTGAAAGAAAGCAGGGAAGAAGAGTGCTAATTAATCACATTAAATCACAGTTAACTGATCACATGACCCATCAGATCAGAGTGAGGTGCAGTTAATTTGCCAATTATTAATACTAACTGATCCATAAAACAGATATTCTTTCTGCCAGAATCTGTTCGAAGCTTCTGCTTACAAATAAAATGAAAACATTATTCACAATGACACAAATAATTGATCTAATCTTTACATTCATATACTCACACATGTTAGACTCACACCTCAGATTGTATTTCATTGATTAATTCTAGAAGATTTTCTGAGCCTTTTATTTGTCTTTGTAATTCATTTAACTTTGCTTCTGCACGGTTGAGGATAAAAGAGATGAATGAACAAGTTCATATCATAAATAAGACGAACATGAAAGTAAACTCAGCAAAACAAACCTTTATTTTGTTGCATTGAACCGGACTTCAGGAGCTTTGTGCTTTTTTACAAAGTTATTCTATAGATCAAATGAATTGAGTCTCACACGTAAAATCAAATCGTTATGTGAAAGTTTTAACCTGTTACAATAAAAACTACAAACCATCCGACCATAAATAAGAGCAAAACTAAGGTTTGAAATTACAACATTTTTATAAAACTTTTTAAAACCCTTCTTGTTGATCTCTGTACTACCTTGTTCTCCCTGGACTCCTTGTGGTCCGCGGACCCCGGGGACTCCACGCTGGCCCTTCAGGAATCTGTGCTTAAAAACCGTCTGATAAAAACACAAACAACATATTTAGCATGAAGATTGTATAGTGTTGCCCCGCCCTCAGTGCCATTGCCCCGCCCCCTTCTTTTGGCCCCTGATACCTGAGAAGCTGCTGTAAATAATATTTCATAGCCAGATGTTTTCTCCATTTGAAGTCTGGTTAACTGTTGATCCACTTATTCACATACCGTCGTCTGTTTACTGGTTCATAAATTAACTGCAGAGGATTCATCTATTTATCTTCAACATTCAATAAGTAAAAATGATAAAAACATCATATTTAATCATTTACTTTGAGTGTAAACCACAGCGTCATCATCATAGAAGACTAGATTTCATGTCGACTCACATCACTTTTAGGTTGGAAGGTTTTGCGGTGAGTTTTAAAACGACTACTTGAGATTAATTCAGTATCTTCAGCACAAACATCGGAAGCTTTTCAAGACAGCCGGCTGCAGATCTGATCAGAGACATTTGTTGAACCGTCTGATCCAATCAATATTTCATCACACAGCTGAACTGTTCTGTGTGCTTTTTCTTTTCTTTTTTGTCAAGCTGGCTCTTATTTTGATAGAACTGGCCATGCTTCCTGTCAACATTTTACTCAGCAGAAAATTTAAAAAAATTATAAAAACTTCTGACTCACCTCTCCTAGAAGACCTGGAAAACCACGATCACCTTTCTCTCCCTAAAATGTAAAAACACCATTAACACTGCCGCAGTACTGAGTGTACTACTGCAGTAATACTTCGTGTACCTCATACAGTTCTCACCGCGGCTCCTCCGATACCTGGAGGACCGAGTAACCCACGATCCCCGGAGACTCCCTGCAGGACACACAGCTTGAGTTAATTCCACGTCTACGGCCCAGAATCAGTGATCAGTGTTTGAAGTCTCTACAGGCTTTCTACACTGGTGAGTTTTACTGCTTTGTTATCGTTCTAAAGCATGTACCGTAACGTACATAACGTAGCGTTACGTAACGTACCGTAATGCAACACAGCGCATCGTATCATATCGTACCGCAACGCTCCGTACCGTACTGTATCGTATCATATCGTAACATATAGTAACGTATATGGTTGGTTAGCGTTCCTGTTAGCTTAGCTTGTTACCTGTTCTCCCAGCTCTCCAAGGACTCCATCCTTCCCCGGTTTACCCTATAACACAAACACCAAGCCCCAGATGTTAGACCAGGATTACACCTGTCCAGGTTTCTGAGGAGGTTCAGGTCACAACCACAAAATGAAATATACAACAGCAAAAATATAACTTTCAGATCCATAACTGCTTGTTTACAGGTTTCTGTTTTAGTGATGAGTTAAAGTGAATTCTGATTATAGATCCACGGTATCATAATTCAGTGCTCGGTCTCTCTTACTAGTGAGCCAGGATCACCTCGCCCGCCCTTTTGTCCTTTAACCCCCGGTGTACCCGGCACACCCTGGAGGAGAAAACAAACGCACACATCAGCCTGACTCTCTGGTCATAACACAGAGTCAGTCAAAACCACAAACAATATGTTTATTTATTTGCTATTGTGTGAGGTATATTCATAATTCTGTTGTCGGACTGAGAGACGGCTTTGACTTACAGGAAGTCCAAGGCAACCTTTCAGTCCAACTTCACCTGGTTCTCCCTGAAATATAACAACCAAAATATGAGTGAAAACAGGCTGAGGGATGTTGAGACAGTAGAGACAGACAGATGGTGAGACAGACAGACAGACCTTCAGTTCTTTGGGTCCTTCAGCATACAGTTTAATTCCTTTCTGTCCAGGGATCCCCGATGGACCATGATCACCCTGAAACCAAACACAGCTGATGATGATGATGATGATGGTGCATAGATTAGAAACATTTGAATGCCTGTCTTATTGTCTCACATTTACAATTAGAGTGTGAACTACAAAGTGAACCCAGGAACTAGCATTAGCATAAGGCTGCAATCCGGACCAGTTGGCTCACCGTCTGTCCACGGGGACCCGGTATCACCGGACTGGGACCCTCTTGACCCTGAAACCGAAACACAGCATCATCAGGACCGAACGAAACAGAACATCAGACATCCGGAGGAGATCAGTCGTGATTATTGACTCATAAAGTTCTTTACGTGTTAATTAAAGAGTATTCCAAAGTCCAACAAGGATTAGGTTCTCATCTTCTGCAAACAAGATATTAACTTATACTTGTGTTATCTTGAAGAAATGGAAACTGCTGCATGAAGACCGAACATCAAAATAAAACACGTTGCAGCTAACCTTCTCTCCTGGTAACCCCGGCAACCCTGGACTTCCCTAAAAAAATTCAAAAACAGCTGATGTCAGTTGGTTAATCCATTGTTAAATATATCTAATTATGTTTGAAATTTTAAGATGTGAATTGTACAAAAAGTCCAGCGGATCCTGGTGGTCCTGGCAGGCCTGGTCCACCTGGACCTCCACTCAGCCCCTGCAATACAAACAGCCAATCAGAGAAAAGACTACTATCCCTTTTTTGGCACTACGGCAGCCCGCTGTGTTCATTCTGTGGACTGGTTTACATTCAAAAAACATACAGGTAATAATCATTTTGTTTGCTTAAATAGTTTATTCATCATTAGAAATATCTTAACATCTAATTAGGTGACACAATGACATAAATACAATTCTAACAATTGTATCACTGCCGGTTGATGTGAAATGCATGCTGGGATATGACTAGACAGGTCATTGGGAGTGTTCCTCACAAGACCACAAAAGACTGAGGAAGATTATTCGTCTAGTCTGAATGACAAAATGTGAGGCGGCGACTGACATTTTCTCCATCTCGTCCTTGTGGTCCTGTTGCTCCTTTAATGTCCTGAGTGAACGGAAAGACGAACGAGCGTCCCTGAAAACAGAAACATTAACAGTTGAATTGTATAAACTAGTGATGGGCAATGATTAAAATATTTAAATCGCGATTAATCGCATGGATTTTTTGCGATTAATCGCGATTAATCAATAATGAATTATAAAGTAGTGTATTGTGCACTTTTATTTTAAAGTACTGCTGTATGAACAAAAGGGCAATAACATTTGGTTTGTAAACACTTTAAACACATCAGGTGCTTTTTAACAGCAGTATTCTCTTTACACAGTAGCGATCATTCTTATATTATATCATTCTTACATCATATGTATATTTTCCCTTTAACTCACGAGATGCAGCATGTTTTATACTTAATGTGAATATAATTCATACTTTGTTGGCATCTTATTCTGAAAACCGGATGTTCATCTGAAGAAACCGGATGTTGTCTCACGTTAATCTTTCCACTAACTTTCAAAGTCCTTCGCTCGCTCCCGACCTGTGCCGTTTGAATGCGTTAAATTTATTTTATTATACTATATTGATCCCGTTAAGGGGGAAATTTGTCTCTGCATTTGACCCATCCCTGTATATCAGGAGCAGTGGGCTGCCAATGACAGGCGCCCGGGGAGCCGTTAGGGGTTCAGTGTATTGCTCAGGGACACTTCGACACGTGACACGTCCCAGTTGACCTTGCGGTTACCAGACAACCCTCTTAACCCAGTGAGCCACGGTCACGTTAATGTCAGCATATAGGTGCACTAACATGTAAGTGTCTGCTGAGTTGACCGCAGCGATGTCCCGTAGCCTGCAGGGAGAGCAACAGCTGGTGCTCGTTGTAACGCCGTGTATTCTAACCGGCTGCAGTTTGTCTCCACTTCTCTGTAGCATTTGTTAGCTTGTCTTGCTTTAGTTTCTCTCTACTTCTCCCACACGCTGCATCAACGTAGTCTGAAGACTTCCTCCACGGACTTTCAAGATAAAAAAATGCGTTAACGCGCTATAAAATAATTGTCGGCATCAATTAATGAATGCATTAATGCGATAATAACGTGTTAACTTGCCCAGCACTAGTATAAACATATAAATACATTCCTACAAATCACTATAATACATGAACTGTAACTCTGACTCCTGATCTTTGAAGTTATGCAGCTAGCTTAGCTGTTAGCTCTCTGATTGATATTAACTGCATGTGTTCAAGAACTTTTGGTTTTTATTTTATAGCAACAAACTACTGAATAACAGGTTTGATACAAGGTTTTAAGATGACAGTGTGTGACTGTGAACAGGTTTTTACCTTTAAACCTTGCAGTCCTTGTCGACCCTAAAACACATGAGCATAGTTAGCTTTAGCTTCACAGAGCTAATTAGAATTAAAATGTAGAACGTAGGAAGTAGGCGGGACTTACTAGAAGGCCGGCCGGTCCTGGAACCCCAGAGAACCCTGGGTAACCAACATCCCCCTGGCAGAAACCAAACAATACATCAGTGTTTGTGTGGATCCTCCTCAGGAGGTTTTATTTGGATTACAGCTTCTGGATCAATCTGTGACGTTGTGATGCTGGATCTAAACCTTGATAAGTCTAGAAATGTTGTCGTTGTATTTCACCTTCTCAAGTCTTCAATAACTTCAATCATCACGTTTCGAGAGATGAAACTTGTAGTTTCATTTGATCTTCTGTAAAAACCTACTTGTGGTGAACCTCAGGGCTTGATTCTGGGTGCTATTCTATTATATTTAGTCACATCAGCAGACATTAAATATGTAGTTGATACACAAGTGTTTCTTCCTGTCCATCTTCATGATAGGAATTATCGGCACGACCACATTAACTGGGAATTAAAGTCTCATTTCTACCTTTGTCCCATTGCATCCTGGGAGTCCTGGTAGACCAATTGGTCCTTCATGTCCGGGGAGTCCCTGAGAAAACACACATGATGAATGTTCAACAAACAACACTGGAGAGAATCTCCAAACTCCTGATGTGAACATCTGTCTCTTTATGATGGTTCTTACCGGCAGTCCTGGAGGTCCTGGAAAACCTGGTTTTCCTAGAAGACCCTGGAGAAGACGGAGGGAGACAAACTTTAATGAGATGGATCCTTCACTCATTATCACCGTCAGGAGGATCAGGCGATCGGTTGTGTGTGAGTGACTAATCCACTAAGTCCACTAATCTCTCATTCTGCTGCAGCAGACTGCATCATATTTAGGGGGTCTAGTTATGGCTGCATGATCAAACGCCGCTGGTGGTTGCAGTGACTCACACAATACTGATTTTAATTTTGTTTTTGTTTGACTGTATGTTGCGTCTTACACGATAACTTCGAGCTGCTTGCTGCCTACATCGCCTCTTGTTTTTGAGTTTGAATGAAATGTGTTTTACGACGTCTTAGAGCCCAACAGGAAATTGGACCAGTTGTGAGTTTTATTAATTCCATTACACATTACAGCTGTGGTTGTCGCAGACACACCTGGCAGAAATCTGCCCTTTGCTGAGTCCATCCATCCATCCATCCATTTTCCTCTGCTTATCCAGGGTCGGGTCGCGGTGGCAGCAGGCCAAGCAGGCTGACCCAGACTTCCCTCTCCCCGGCAACATGTTCCAGCTCATTCTGGAGGATCCCGAGGAGTTCCCAGGCCAGCTGGGAGATATAATCCCTCCAGCGTGTTCTGGGTCTTCCCCGGGGTCTCTTCCCAGTTGGACGTGCCTGGAAAACCTCCAGTGGGAGGCGTCCAGGAGGCATCCTAATTAGATGCCTGAACCACCTCAGCTGACTCCTGTCGACGTGAAGGAGTAGCGGCTCGACTCCAAGCTCCCTCCTGATGACCGAGCTCCTTACCCTATCTCTAAGGCTGAGCCCGGCCACCCTACGGAGGAAGCTCATATCGGCCGCTTGTAGCCGCGACCTTGTCCTTTCGGTCACGACCCAGAGTTCGTGACCATAGGTGAGGGTAGGAACGTAGACCGAGTGGTAAATTGAGAGCTTTGCCTTCCGGCTCAGCTCCCTCTTCACCAAGACGGTCCGGTGCAGCGCCTGCTTTACTGCTGCAGCCGCACCGATCCGCCTGTCGATCTCCCGCTCCATCTTACCCTCACTCGTGAACAAGACCCCGAGATACTTGAACTCCTTCGCTTGAGGTAGGCACTCCGTCCCCACCTGGAGGGAGCAATCCACCGGTTTCCGGCAGAGAACCATGGCCTCAGATTTGGAGGTGCTAACTCTCATCCCCGCCGCTTCACACTCGGCTGCAAACCGCCCCAGTGAATGCTGGAGGTCACGATCCGAGGAGGCCAACCTGACCACATCATCTGCAAACAGCAGAGAGGCGATCCCGAGACCCCGAACCTGACGTTCTCCACCCCCAGGCTGCGCCTAGATATCCTGTCCATGAAAGTCACGAACAGGACCGGTGACAAAGGGCAGCCCTGGCGGAGACCAACACCCACCGGGAACGTGTCTGACTTATTGCCAAGAATGCGGACACTGCTCCTACTGCAGTCGTACAGAGACCGGATCGCCCGTTGTAACGGGTCCGGCACCCCGTACTCCTTTGCTGAGTCAACCTTTCTAATTTGATCTGTATTCAGGTTTACAAAGATACAAATATAAAGACAAATCTGGCTAAAATTAACCTGAAGTCAGAGAATATTCAGAGAGTTAAAGAGGTTAAAAGAGGCCGTTTAATAAAAGGAAAGTCTTCATCAGTTGTTCTTACCCGAGAGCCTTTCAGTCCTGAACCTCCGGCTGTTCCCTCGTCACCCTGAGGGGGGGAAAAAACAAGAAGAAAAGAATCATCACATCCAATAAATCTGCAGAGATCTTTTACATTGTTTACAAACAACTGACTGTTCATAATATTTTATATTAAACAAGATGGAACAACGTCATCGTCATGTCTCAATCACTGGCTAAAAGAAAAAGAACAACTTTGAGTTTCAAGTAGAGAAGTTCAGATTCTATTTTCTCCGCATCGATACCAGTTCAGATACCCGACACCAGTTCAGATACCTGATACCAGTTCAGATACCTGATACCAGTTCAGATACCTGACACCAGTTCAGATACCTGATACCAGTTCAGATACCTGATACCAGTTCAGATACCTGACACCAGTGTGTTCTACCGGTGGGACTGAGTACTGAGCTTATTTAACTCTCAACAGAGATAAGAAAGAAGGATTTCTCATTCGTTAGCGACTTTAATTATCCATCTCAGACCCAGGGGTCGTTTTTTCCGAAGCTGACGATGGAAGTTAATAACAAAGAACAATAAGTACAAGAGTTATTTGATATAGTGAAATTAATAAACGTTTTAATAAGCTCATCGTGATGATCTTTAACTTTGTTTCCTGAGCTGAAGTTATGAAACATGAGACGTGACTTCACGACTGAAGATAACTTTGGTATTTTCAAAATAAAATGAGGACCGTGGAGAGAACCCTGAGGAGCTCCACAGTCTGTTTAAAGAAGTTAAGATAATAACAACAATAGTCTCTCATCGTCATCGTGGAAACATGTCTTCAGGTTACCTTTTCCGCAGATGGGCCCTGGTCGCCCTCGTTACCAGGGTAACCGATCACTCCAGGAAGTCCGTCGTATCCGAGGTAACCAGATTCACCCTGCAGAGGAAACAACACAGATCCAGGGCCAGTTCATCAGTGTATGAACAGGTAAACCCAGGTATGATGAGGATCCAGGGTCAGTTCACCTGCTGCCAGACAGAGGCAGTAAATTCAGGTGTACATAAATCTTGGCTGTGGTCGAGGTGCATTCAGGTTCCTGCGTGAACAAATGGACGTTTCATGTTCAGCAGAGAGAAATCAGCCTTTATTCTCCTGCTGAACACACCTGAGATTACAGAGTTCACACCTGGGTGGTCTCAGGTACCAACACACCTGAGACACAAAGACTTCAGGCTGAACTCAGATCTCATCCTCTTGGTTTTATTGGAGTTATTTTTGACATTTACTTATTTCCTTTCTTTAAAGTTTACTTGTGTTTATTTTGAAAGGTACAATTCAGAGCTCAGCAACCCTCCATCAAACCCTCGTAAACTCCTGTACAGTTGTTGACAGTTTAAAGAGCACAAATAAAGTGTTTCACAATAACAATAATGAGGCTACATGCAAAAAGAGTAAAAACACCTCCAAACTTTAGACTATGTAGACCCACTTAGACCCAAAATAAACCCCTGTAGCCAACCAAGACCTTGCTGAGCTACTGGATCTGAGTGCACCCACATGAGTCCTGCTAGACCCACATTAGACCCACATTAGGCCCACATTAGTCACCTGCAGTGACAGCAGGTCACCACTGGGGGGCAGCAGACTGTAGGCACAAACTGATCCAGGGCCAGTGAGGTCGTGGTTCCCCACTAGACAACCAGGTAGATATTCTCACCTTTTGACCTTTGACCCCGTCACAGTGACAGAGAGACTTCCCGCTGCAGTGACACACCTGCAGAGACGGAAGACAAGAGTATAAATATAGATATACATTAGTGCTGGGCAACGATTAAAATGTTTAATCGGGATTAATCTCGTTGTTATGCGCAAAGTTCAATAATGAATTAAAAAGTAGTGTATTGCGCACTTTTATAGTACTGCTACATGAACTAAAGGTCAATAACATTTGGTTTAAACACTTTAAACACATCAGGTTCTTGTTAGCAGCAGTATTCCCTTTACACAGCAGCAGTTATAACACAGTTATAAGGATTCTGATCATAGATATTCAGCCGGTGTTCACAACTTTATCTTCATGTGTGTAAGAGAGGATATTTAAATATACACCTTGAAAACTGCAAACCTATCTACGTCATGTTTTTTTGTTTGTTCTGTTTGTTAAATTCTCAGTAGTGATACTAAATGATGCTTATTATACATATTCCAAACAAAACAACTTTAAAAACTCTAAAAATATAATTTAAATGAATAATTTTTTTTTTTGCTTTTTTTGGTATTGTGGTCAGACATATGCAACGCTGATTACCGTAATATGTGTGGTATTTGTTATAAATGTACATTGGTACATAGAGGGTGATAAGCTGTACATGGAGGGACTTATGGTGCGTTCACACCAAACGCGGCGCGAATTATTCGATGACACTGGTGAGGCGCGAATTTGCGATGCCGCAGCGCGATTAATGCGAATTCGCGTCAAACGGCAAATCGCCCCAAACACGTGAGTTGAAATTTTTCAACTTCGCCGAAATATTCACGTTACGCCCTGGCGCGATAGCCTATCAGCGTTGAGTTGCTTCCCCTGTCATCACTGACGTCCGGCCGTTGTTGAATCAGGAAATAAATACTGTAGCCAACTGTGTTCACGCAGAGCTCTACGATACCTCATATCAATAGAGACCGGACCAAACTATGTGTATAAATGTGTGTGTGTACACCATATGGTACAAACAATGAATAGACGCTGCCGTATTTACGTCTACATGACGGTATTCTGAGTGTTGGTGGAGCTGCTACAATGTTAGCTTAGCCTAGCACCGATCCATCCACTCCATTGAGACGACAAGTACAAATCGGCATCATTACGAAGTTATTTCAGAGTCCCTTTTTGTCGGTTTATTGCCGTTAAATCACAGCCAGATCAGTTTGTTTAGTGTTCATACAGCTGCAGTAAACAGCGACAGCGACGTGTGGCTTGCTAGACACAGTGAATACAGCTCGATACTATGTTATGAACCAGACATGACGGCGTTTAGTTTCCCGTGATATCTGTGACTTCCACAACACGTACTAAGCAGAAATAGAGGTTATTATTTCCATGGTTAATGGCAGACAGTTGAACGTCTTTCAGGGCGATAAGCCACGCCCTCTCTCCAGCGCGTCCAGCGCGATTCGCGCAAATGAACACAAATAGTCCCCGGCGAGACCGGCGGGGACTATTAGGACCCAGGGGAGTGTAGGTGGAGCATGGAACCCGTAGTCTGTACCGTGGCAGTAACCTGCATGAGGAAGTTATGCTAATAAAGAGTTGAGTTAAGAGCATTTGTTCTCTTGTGCTTATATGTTCATTTAAAAACACCACAATATGAATTTTGATATTGTCGCGATCCTGTAACGAGACTATCGCGCGCGTGAGAGAGAGAGAGAGTGACGGAGTGAAGGGGGGTTCCAGATCTGGCGTGACACCCGGGTGTCCGCTTAATAATAAATAAAAAAACTGCGTTAAACGCACGATAATATAATTATCGGCTTTTAATTAATTAAATTAATTAAATATATATATATATACATATACATATACATACATATATACGTATACATATACGTATATATATGTATATATATATACGTATATATATACGTATATATATACGTATATATATACATATATATACATATATATATATATACGTATATATATACATATATATATACGTATATATATATATACATACACATATACATACACATATACATATATACATACACATATACATACACATACACACACACATATATGTACATATACACATATATATATACACATACACACACATACATATATATATATATGTGTGTGTATGTGTATATATATATATGTGTATATGTATATGTATAGTGAAGTCTAAATGTAAATACTCGAAGCAAAATACAAGTATCTTGAATTTGTACTTGGGGACTGTACTTGAGTAAAAATACTTTTTTTACATTTCACCTCTAGGAAACATCAGGTTTTAATGATTATATGTTCGGGGATGATCATGCGGGTGGACTCCATGGGTTTGAACCCTCCTCGTGTCCTGCAGGTGTAACATTAGTAAAGTTTAGTCCTGACTGAACTTAATCTCGGGTTTAGACGTCAGCGAACGTGTTTCTTCATGAAGTCTTTATCAGTCAGACATATTTTCCGTGGGTTTAAACCCAAACAGCTTCATGTATCCTGCAGGTGTAACAGTGCTCTTCCTGTGTGATAACCTGAAGCAGACAGACAGACAGACAGGTCTGATGTCATCTTATCTCCATTCCTGTCTCACATCGATGCCTCGACACGTCCTGCAGCCGAGCATTGTGGGTCTTTACTATCTTTACTGTGAGGGTTCAGGTGTCTTTCAGCGAGAGAATCAGAGCTGCAGACTCTGAACTAAACATCTGACTTCAGTTTGATCGATAAACTAAATAAATAACAAATCTTTAGTAAAAATAGATCATGGTTTGGCTCGAAATAAGTATGTTTGTTACATGTTTGAATTATGAAAAGTTCTGTGTCCTGTGTGAGTTTGACCTGTCCATCAATGGACCAGCAGAAATGTTTTTGTGATTTGTCAAAAAAATAAAAAATGAATCAAAAATAAATGTTCCTCGATGTGTAAATGCCGAAGCTGTACGGTCCCATCTGATGAACTAAACATTAATGCCTGAGTAACAATAATCTAACGATATAATATAAAACACTTGCTTGGGTTGTTTTCATCATTATGAGCACTTTTATTTTTAATATTTGAAGTATATTTTCCTGATTACACTCACGTACTTATATACACTGTATGCATGTAGTTTGCTGCAATATGTTTTCTTTAAAGAAATGTGAGGAAGCAATTTAGAAAGACTGTGATGTTCTCGTTGTTTGTGACATAAATCAGACTTCTGATCAGCTGAGTGTAAACGTCTCTGATGGTTAAAGTGATTCAACTTCATGTGCTTTTCATTATTCATGAGTTAAAGAAGTGTAAGATGAGTCAATGTTCGTAGTGAATGTTTCCTGTCGCTGTTTAGCTGCTTTCAGTCGGACAGACTTTTCTTTTCTCTGCAGCTCAGCAGATCAAATCACAGAGTGTGTGTGTGTGTGTGTGTGGGGGGGGGGGGGGGGGGGGG